CCCACCCATCTGTCGCAAAATATCACAAAATTTTGGACCCCACCTCACCCCCCCCCTACCTCAAAGCGTGACGTCATTTGGGGGCAGTCCCTATTGCTATTGGTAATAAATATATACTAAATATAATCATACCATAATTATACCATAATTACACTATAATTATAATATATAAATACGTCAATCTGCTTGTTGTTGATACCCTTAAGAATAAATTATAATAAAATTATCATAAATTAAAAATATTATTAATGAACATTACTAATAAATTAAATTTATTAATAATTAGCCTATGCTATCATGATTCAATTATTATTAATTGTAATTGATAAGTTTAACTGAGTAATTAATCATTTATATCATAATTATCGACTGGTTTGTGAGATTAAGATAATGATTACTATGCGTCATATCATTGACTAATTAATTATTATTATTTTATTATTATTTTATTATTATTATTGCTTTCTTGAGAGCCTTTACCAGAATTACGATGCCTCTTTTATTGGGCTATTAAACTGTTGTCCTGATGACGATCATGATGAAGACGACGACGATGATGATGGTGGTGATGATAATGATAATGATGATGATGATGATGATAATGACGATGATGATGACGACTACAAAACTCAGACGGCATATCGTAGAATGATGGAGTGAGTAAAACGAATAAAGGATTATGAGAACGACGATGAAGATGATAATTATGAGGATTATGATGACGATGATGACGACGATGATGATGATGTATATGATATAACCAATAACATGTTCCCATGAGTTGAGTATTAGAAGGCTACATTTATCATTTTGTATGCAAGTTAATTGAGTTGCCGTTCTATTGTTATTACTGCTGTTGTTGTTTTTTCCGGGTTGTGATAATGATGTTATTGATGATGATGATACGATAATGATGATGGTGGTGATGATGGTGGTGGTGGTGATGGTGGTAAAAAATAAAAAGAAGACAAAAGAAGAAGATGAAGATAAACATGATGATGATGACGATGACGATGATGATGATGATGATGATGATAATGATGATCATGTTGATGATATTCAGCAATAATGATGACTCTACATCTCCAGTGTTGGATCTAGAAGGAGGTTGGAGAACCATGGCCCTCCCCGCTGTATCAACTGTATGAACAGTATCTTTACTAAAAATCAGTAAAACTCATCATCGTTATCATCATCCTCTTCCTCAACGTCATCACTACACGCAGTCGTAATAATAATAATAATAATAATAATAATCTTCTTTTTTATTGGTTATTTTTTCGTCGCAGTGTCACTTTTTTATTTAACTTCAAAAAATATATTAACGCGAATAACAACATTATCAACAACAACAATAACAAATACAAACATGCAGCAACGACAACATCATAAACAACAACATAAACAACGTGAACAACATCATCATAAACAACATCATTATAAACATCATAAACATCACCATCATAAACAAGGGAAATATATGTTTATCCAAGCAAACAAAACAAAACGAAACACACGTCTCGACACGCAAACAACAACATCAACAAAAAAGTAGACAAAAATACTCAGACGATAATAAACAAACAACAATTTATATACAAACATGCATCTGTAAAGATCAACAACAACGATGACTTGAATAAATAACAAACATAGACATGAAACAACAACACACATCAAAAAAACTTAAACAGCAAAAAACATAGATATCAAACAACAACAAACATGAAACAAAAGCAAACAAACATAAACAACAAAAAATAGATATCAAACAACAACAAACATAAACATAAAACCGCAACAACAAACAAACATAAACAGCAGCAAACATAGATATCAAACAACAACAAACATAGACAACAACGAGAACAAAGAATAAAAAATTTGTATGTAAGCATGCATAGGTGGGCAGTGGCGTGTTTTTGTTTTTAATTTTGCGTTTGATGCAAATGACTTCCGCACGCGCGTTCACTGATGTGCAAATAGGAACAAAGATCATATAAATAAATTCGCGCTAGATAAAAAATTATTTTGCTGTATTATCTTTGTTTTTGTTTTTGTGGTATTTTTGTTTTTGTGTTTTGTTTAGTTTATGCTTTGTTAGTATGTCGTCTTTGTTGTGGGTAAATCATCTTTGTTGTTGTTGTTGTTAGATTATCTTTGTTTTTGTTATTATATTATCTTTGTTTTTTGTTTCTGTTGTTATATCTTTGATTTTGTTGTTAAATTATATTTGTTGCTGTTGCATTATCTATATTGTTGTTGCTGCTTTTGTTTTTGTTGTGAATGTCAGGTTTTTAACGACTCTTATGCAATGATAATTCTGAAGTCATTGCTAATATTGATGTCATGGTTGATGTCATTTTGATGTTGATGTTGATGTCAGAGTTATTGTCATCGTTTATATGTATATATGTTTACATGTTTCATTTTTGATAACTCTGTTTCAGAAGATGAAAGAATGTATTCGCATGTCGTTGTATTTTCATAAATAAATTTGCGATAGATTAAAAGATCTTATTAGCATATTTTTTGGATATTACCTTTGTCGATTTGTTGTTTTTGTTGATGTCTGTTGTTGTTGTACTGTTTTTTCTTCACGATTTTGTTGTTGCTAATGTTGTTTATGCTGCTAAAGTCGATTTTGAATTCGCACACTGTTGAAAAAAAAGTTCTTTACCGTCTTTGTCGTAATTTAATGAAATTATCGTTAGTCTTTGGTCGTTATTCTCCACGATAATTTTGTACCTACGTACCTAGTTAGATGAAAAATGAAATATTGAGAATGAAAGTAAAAAAGTTTTGGGTAGTTGTTTATGTTGTTGTTGCTGTTGTTGTTGCTGTTGTTGTTGTTGCTGCTGCTGTTGTGCTGTTGCTGTTGATGTTGTTGTTGTTACTAATTTTAATGTTCATAGCAATTGCCGGGTTTATTTATAGATAATTAACTACCCTGTTTTTATTTTGTGTTTCTGAACTAACAGATTGTTGTGGATTATATTAAATGATCATGTAATATTATTGTTTAATTTTTATTACGTATAATTCTACCGGTATTAATTACTTTTTTGTATTTTCCTCCACAATAAACCTAAACGGAAGTAATCACAGGAATGACGTCATACGTTAGTTAATTTTTTAATTTTTAACAGTTTAGGTTCGAGTGATTAGCAAGAGTTAAAAATAGAATATAATGACGCAAAAGTTTCCGGGTTAACGCTTTTCGTGGTCGGTTACTATATTTCAATTCCTACTTGGAATTTAGTGGTTACTGCTGGCTGGCGAATAAAAGTGAATTTTTACTTCAAAATATTATGTTCTGACTTGGAGAAAATAATGAGAACAATTTTTGAAAATAAATTTGAATGAAATCGCTTAAATAAAACCTACCAGTAGCAGCAGCATTATTGAAGAATGCCAAGTTCCCACATATGTAAAATGTCACAACCCGTTTTTTGAAAATTACCTTCTTGCTGCTAGCAATAAAAAATTGATCATAAAACATCAAAATCGCTGGTAGGGATTGATAGAAATGAAAGAATGATTATCATATCAGGGTCTCGCCTCTAGACCTCCAAATCCTGTGGTTGCCTTTGACTCTTGAGACATACATCTAGGTTGGTTTCAGGTGGCCTTAAACACGATCACGTTAAACAAGTTAGTTTTGCTCTTCAATGGCTTCCGGTTTATCAAAGAGTTATTTTTAAGATATGTTACCGGTTTTTAAATGTATTAAGGGAGTTGTCCTTAAATATTTAACTGACAGAGCCATTCCTAGAACGGTCTGTTATTCGATTTCATAAAAGGCTGAAACACCATCCTTTCGTCCAAGCTTGCCCGTGCTAATGTCCCTTTCTCTCCATTCATTGCATGGCTTTAATAAAGAGCTACACAATGTACTGCATTAATCGTTAGCGCCTCTGAGATCTTGCAAATACATTATTAATAATAATGATAATAATAATAATAATAATAATAATAATAATAATAATGATAATAATAATAATAATAATAATAATACAATAGTAATAATAATAATAATAATACAATAATAATAATAATAATCTTACAGCAGGTTTCAATCAAAATTATGATTCTTGAGTAACAGCGTTTCTGAAATGTATATTTATCTTAAAATGTCAAGCCTGTAGTTTAAGCAGAACAATATTTGCGCACAACTGGGAAGTAATCTTAGTCTTATAACGTAACAGTGAGAGGTTTAAATTGACTGTGAATAATTTGTAACTAAATAACTAAATAACTTAACTATGAGTAAATGAAGTTTTGAGATTTGTTAATAGTAGTAGTGGTGCGGCTGTGGCTGTAGTGGCTGTGGCCGTGGTATCAAAAAAATATTGATTGAGGTCGGCTTTGTAGCGAATACTATATATGAAAACATAATATTCGGAATTGTGAACAGATAAGGTGTTGATAATAAAGTTGAAAGACATAAAAACTAAAACGTAATAATCTGATTTGATCACAGATCTGATAACTCTGATCGAACTCAACAAAATATGTATGAAGGAAAATATCCCACGTGAAATTATATATATATGTATATATATATATATATATATTATTTTGGTTAAGACTATCGTATTAAAAAATACCATATAACATTATACGTCATTCAAAAATCAATCGAAGTAATGAGCAGAACAATGAGAAACAAAGGTCTGCTTGTAAAAGCCTGAAGGGACGAACAGAAAGAATTTAGCCTATTTTGTATGTAGTAATAATATTTCTATGACAAAATTTAGTAACGATGTATTAATGTATATGTATTTTTGGTAAAATAATAATTAAAATAAAATTTAGCAAAAATCATTTATCATTAACTTTCTTTCGTTTTTGTACAAATTTATTCAGACACAGATTATGATATGGTTAATTTTTTATAACTTTTTAAAGATACAGAATCACAATAAGAAGTCGTAGCATATGGTGAAAGAAAAGTGTAGAAGAAGGTAGCCATTTGGACATATATCATAGAGTGAAACATGCTGAGACTTTCAAAAAAAGCCACCTTATCAGCGACTGATATTAAGCAGGCAAATAAGGTGAAGATGATAATATTTATTTATTCATTTATTTATTTGTTTAATTATATATTAATTAATTAATTTATTTATTTAAATATTTATTTATTTATTTATTTATTATTTATTTATTTATTACAAAATTTAAACTTTGAGCATTTTCTTCAGCTGTATTAACGGTGATTGATGCAGAACTCTGCAGTTAACTCATATCTATTTTAACGTTAAATGCTTTCTCAAGCCATACAAAGAAACACCTCGTAGATTCAACCATAGAAAAAATGATATTTTGAACGAAGGAAACAACAATGCTAACAACAACTACTACAAGCACAACAACACTGCCAACAATACTAGCCTCAACAACAACACCGAAAACAAAAGATTCAATTATATAAAAGATTTCACCAGCAAAAAGCACAAAATCTCATCATATAGTCAAAACAAAATTGACGAGGTTTACAGCGACGGCGACAACTACCACAACAACTTCAGCAACTACAACAACAACAACAATATCTTCATTAGCCACGACAGCAGTGGAAGATATAATGACTGCTATGAGGAATTCTACTGCAGTTCTTTCTTACAACTACCATCTTCCATGGAACGCTGTAGTAGTAACTTCAGCAGCAGCAACCACAAAAATGATGATACATATCAAAATGATGATGATATAAATCAAACATATCTAACGACAAATACTTTCACTGCCAACAATACTAGCCTCAACAACAACACCGAAAACAAAAGATTCAATTATATAAAAGATTTCACCAGCAAAAAGCACAAAATCTCATCATATAGTCAAAACAAAATTGACGAGGTTTACAGCGACGGCGACAACTACCACAACAACTTCAGCAACTACAACAACAACAACAATATCTTCATTAGCCACGACAGCAGTGGAAGATATAATGACAGCGATGAGGAATTCTACTGCAGTTCTTTCTTACAACTACCATCTTCCATGGAACGCTGTAGTAGTAACTTCAGCAGCAGCAACCACAAAAATGATGATACATATCAAAATGATGATGATATAAATCAAACATATCTAACGACAAATACTTTCACGGATAAACGCCGCAGTAGTTACTTCAGCAGCAGCAACCACAAAAATGAGGATACATATCAAAGTGATGATGATGATGCATATCAAACTAATGATGATGTCAATCATAGTAATGATAGTATCAAACAAATTTATGGCCGGAAATTTACAACGCCCGCTGAATTTGAAATTTTGGGCTATGGAACTGTCAACACTTCAGATAAAAAATCAACAAAAAATAGCAAAAATAAAAACGTCAACAAAAAAAAAATGCAAATTATAGATTTTTTTTCAAAACTTAGAAGACGAATAAAAAGTAAACATAATGAAAACAACAAAAATAACAAAAACATCTATAAATACAACAGCAACAAAGACAACAGCAACAAGAACAACGCTACTTATTTCGAGAATAACAAAAATGAAGGTACGTACCGTAGCATTTTTTACACCAGTCTCGCTGTCCCAACACAGGAAGATAGTGAAAATGCAACATCTAGTCGTAGAATTCAACTTGACGCACCTAGCTACACAGACATTGAGACTGCCAACACAACCGTTGTAGAAGCCGCCAAAAAGATAAAAAGTAAACGCAAAAACAGGAACAACAACAGCAGCAGCATCAACAACAACAAAAAAGACAATATAAACAACAACAACTCATTTAGTTGCCCAGACTTTAAGAATGCCTACACGACTGTCGCAGAAAACGCCAAAACAACAAGAAGCAAACACAGAAACAACAATCGCAAAGGAAGTAAAAGTGTATCGAACATCATCGCGACTTTCAAAAGAGTGACAGATTACAGAAAAAGTGAAAACACCATAAACGACAACAACAACAACAACAACAACAACCTCAAGAACAACAAAAGCAACAGCAGCAACGATGAGAAAAGTAACAAAATTAATTTCTCTAAAAAGTTCAGACCTAAACAAAAGCACGGAGACACTTTAGTTTATCCAATTTATGATGATATCACTTTGAATAATGAAACGAAAAAAAAATGTTATAGTAATAATAATGACATTAACAACAACAACGACAACAACAACAACGACAACAGCAACAACAACAACAATAATAATAATAATGATGATTATGGTTATGATCATGTTGTTGACAGTCCTTATTTTATTATCGGTAAAAATGACAACAACGATAAGAATAATAATAACAGTGAGAGAATTTTTTCAAAAAATTTTCGCAATACTGAAGTATACGAAGACTTAAGTATTACTGATATAAATAATTATAATAATAATAATTGTAGTTATAATTTTAGAGATGGAATCTTTTCTGATGAGATTAGCGGTTACCCCGAAATAAAAAACTTAGAAATAAAATCAAAGAATTTAAAAATAAAAGCATTAACTGAAAAATTTGCCGCAGTATCAGTTACATCAACAACAGCAATATCAACAAAAACAACAACATCAAAACCAACAACAACATCAAAGTCATCAGAAACATCATCAACGACAACAACATCAACAACAACAACAACAGCAATTAAAACCACTAGTATTACTACCACTAATTCACCACAATCGTTACCACCACCAACAACAACAACATCAAAAATGAAACCGCCTGTAATGAGAGTGAAACCAACATTTCAAACAATAAAAGCAAAACAATCAACAACAACCGGAACGTTACCAACAGCAACAACAACAACATCGACAACAACAACAACGTCAACAAAAACTTCGATAGAAACTTCGTTTTTGTCGTCGCCAACAAAAACAGAATCTGAAACACAATCAACACAAAACTCATTCCTACCAACTCTTACATTAACTAAAATGAAACCGGTTACAACAGCAAAAAAACCAGCCATCAAAAAACTTCAAAAGCTTTCACCAACAACATCATTAACTGCCACAACAACATCATCAACAACACCTACGGCTTCAATTAGACCAACATCAAACACAGCATCAACAGTAAAGATGATATCTTTCGAAAAAAACATTACCTCTACTGCAACAGCGTTAAATATAACATCAACAAGAGTGCCATCACAGCCGTCTTCGTCAAAAGTATTAACCAAGAGAAGTACACATCAAACGAAAGACATGTTCAACAGTCAAAAACAGGGAGGTAGTCACATTATGTCCACAATATACAAAAAACTCAACATGATTAACAACAAAGACAATAGCATGGCAAAAAGACTCTGCAACGACATCACCTACATTTGCATAAACCATAACAACGATAATAACAATAGCAATGCAAACAGCAGCACGAAGTCTCAGAGAGCAAGTAGTTACATTGATGATGACAGCCCTTACAATAACAACCCGGCTGTAAATCTCAATTTCCAATCCAACAACATCCACAACAACAATGACGACAACTCCTTCAAAACAAACAACACCAAGTTCAGCAATTTCATCAACAACAACATTACTATCAAAGACAAGAAAAATGTTCATATTTATAGCTCATCGTACGCCAACAAAATGACTTTACTTGACAACAACAAAAGCAACAAGAACAACGACGACGACCTCAAAAAGAATATCCCAAGAATCGAACATCTCCTACAAGCTGATGTGACGAAACAGAAATTTTTCGTTATAACAAGACAGGATAGCAGACGAAAAGTTATTGAATAGAAACATCGCGCTAAATGGTGTTATTTGAAATATGACGTCACAAGAAAGTGATTCAGTGTTTTTTTTATTTTTTGATCTGAATTAACATGTAAATATTATTTTTTTTTGTTTCAAAAAAGAAATATTGAAATATGAGTTAGATAAAATTCATGACCTAGATATCCTTATTCAGTGTAAAGCCATAACTTTATGAGCTAATTCTACATTGCCATTCTCAATTTGATCCAAGCAACAATACTCAGTATATATGTAGTATAGGACTAGTAAAACAATGCACCAGCTGATTTAGACAACCTTGACGGAGGACCAAATGCCAAAGTTTTTTTTTTCCAGAATCGTTTCGACGGGCAGGTTAGTATTTCCTCAACGTCAAAATGTTTTACGTTGTTTTTTTTCACTGTTATCTGCCGGTTTAAGAACGCCTATCCTCATAAGGTCACCGACAAGTGATTCCTTTCTATTACTGAAATACGTTTCATTCTACACTTCAATTAATTTGTTCGTTAAAAACTGTTTTACTATTTTTATCATGTTTATTAAAAAGATAAATAAATATTCGTTTTGCGAGAATTTTATTAACGTTCGAAAGAATTTTAATGTTTTATATTACTATGCTAATAGGCTACGCCCATGATCGTTTTTTCAAAATGCCTAGAAACTGCAAATTGAGAAGAAGTTGATTTAAATAAGCTGATTATAATTTACATCTGTTAAATGCAAATAAGCAGATGCTAATTTGAAAGAGTCTGCGTTTCAAAATGATGCAGTCAACAATGATGTTCTACGCGCCAGTTCCAATCAGCAATTAAGCAACAGAGGGGAAGTTCGTGCGTTTTCAAAGGTGCTAACACACCAAGTTGATGAGCTTAACAAGACGTTTGTCAAGAAGTTTGATATGTAAAATTGGTCTCGTACAACTGTTCAGGTAGATGTTTTGTTGCAAAGTCTTCATTTCACTCTTCGCTGCTCTTTGGTCCCAATAGAGGTTTTTGATAACTCCCGTGTCTTTTCCATCACTGTCCAAATTTTCCAATATTTCCATAAGCATGATCCACGTGGCAACATGGAACGTTAGAACGTTGTACCAGACTGGAAAGCTTGAAAATGTAAAACAAGAAATGAAAAGAATGAATCTCAGCATTCTAGGTTTGAGTAAAACTCTTCGGAAGAAATCAAGTGTCATTGCATTTGAAGAAGGCGAAAATCATTTGATTACTCGGTAACCATGGTAACGTATTTTAACTTACAAAAGATACATCACTGAAATTTTAAAAATAATTCGATAGAAATAATGGCTGACGTGAGAGCTTATGTATGTTTGAAATTTTCAATCTATTTGCTAATTTAACTTTTACTACTATTTTATAACTAGGGTACGACGATAAAATTTATAATAAATAAATAAATATAGTTTATAATAATATAATGCTAACTAATTGGATAATTAATTGAAGTATTTTACTGAATATTATATATATAATCATATATTTTATTTATCAAATTGATGCTTAACAACACTTGAGCAACACTTAATTCTGTTAAATTAAAATTAATGGAACAATTTTAATTTTAAGTACGGTGAAGTTTATTGGTTTTCACACAACACACACTTGACACTTCTATTTCGCCATTTTTCTAAAATTTTCCTAAGAATTTTTGTCAGGTTTGAATAAAAGTTAGTACTTATTACTTTTTAATAAGTTATTTATATGTTATAAATAATTAATACTATATTATCTATAGCTATAATTTGTTGTAAGTTTAGATTTCTGAAGTTACAACAACACTATTAAACAGAAGCACACATTTTTTTATGCATAAATTAAAAATTACGCATTACAAAATACATTGCACTACAAGTAAAAGATTAGAAGTAATAATTTTAAAATTATATGCCATTATTATTATAATAAATAATGAATTATAAACATGTAATAAGCTGTAATCTTTATTTTATCCTACTTTACAAATACGCTTATTGATCAGTATTAATGATGAAAAATTTCATAGAGAATGGCTGATGAAAAAGTTTCTACCATTAATCCTTCTAATGCCAGCAAAAAACCTCAACCTGCTGGGGGTAGCAGTAACAACAACACTGGAAACATTTCCAGTCATGCTTTCAGGAATGTCAATATCATGAATGATCTAACCTGTAACGTAGTAACCAACACTAACATCAACTTCGCAACTGGCGCGGACAACTTTATAGCCAATGCAGGCAACTACATTATAACCAACACAAATAACGATTTTGTAAGCAGTGGAGGCAACTATAATATAACTAACACAAGCAACAGCTTTGTAGCGGGTACAGGCATTAGGGGCAACTACGGTGTAACCTACAACAACAACAACAACTATGTAGCAGGTAGAAACAACAACAATGCTTTAACCAACAAGCCAGTGAAATCAAACAACGTTGCCAAGAGAGGTAACAATGAAATGAGAAAGAATTGTCAAGCATTAATGCAAGAAGCCATGCTGGATATGTCTGGCATCAAAAGTGGAGTTTCTTTTGATAGCGAATCGACTGACCGTCGGAAAATTCTAATCGCTGAGAACCATTGCAATAATTGTCTAGTCATCAACAATAATGGCAGTAGCAACAACATTCTGGTTAAGGGCAACTATAGTAACAATAAAATAATAATTAATTATGTAATGAACAACCACAACAGCAGCAACGATGTCAACAACAGCATTCTGATTGGTCAGAACAACAGCAGTAGAGTTGTGCACATGAGAAATGATTTTGTCAAAAACTACCACCACACTCGCGGGGATAATGTCATTATTGACGACGATGACGGTGATGACATCATCGTTTCCAACAACAACAGCATCACCAGCATGGTCATCACCACCAACAACAACCACAACAAAAACATCATCATAGCCAGCAACAACTGCAATGATAGCCTGTTCGTCAACAACAACAACAGCATAAATGACGTCACCATCGTGAAAAACAACAGCAATAACCAAACTGTCATCACTAACAGTAGCAGCAACAACAACATTCTCATCACCAACAACTACTGCAACAATAACATCGTTATCAACACGAATAACAGCAACAACAAAATTGCTTTCATTGACAACAATGCCAACAACTGTATCCTTGTTAATAGCGTGGATGCATAATATTGACAACAACAATCACATCAACTACACTGGCATAACCAACAATAATATCATCATCAACAAAAAATATGAACAACAACAAAATAGCGACATACAATTTGAGAATGATGGATAACAAAAGCTAATGACTTCTGATTTTAAAATTTAATTTTTATCAATTTCTCAACTTGATTTAAGGGTAATCAATATATAATTGTTATATAGATATATAGATATATATAATATAGATGATAACTAATGTACATTAGCATATATGTGAATATTATGATATAATTATATTAGAATGTTTCATCATAGGTAGCCAAACGGCAACCCCGATCTCTGGGAAAATGCCGTCTAAACGTGTGTTGTTGTTGTTCTATATTATAGAATGTAATTCAAACATTATTATTTTTCATGTATTTTATGATAATGATATGTTGTCATTAATATTTATATTATTATTTTTTTTTTTGTTTTTCATAATTTAACACAAATTCAGTCTTTTTTAAGTGAAATTTCGAATTTAAATGATAAAAGAGATTGTTTAATATTGGGTTTTATCTAGTGATTAAAAATTTCATTAAAAAAAACTTTCTTGTAAAATTTTCGTCTGAACCAGGGGTGGGCAAACGTTTTGCTGTGAGGGCCGCATTGAGAACTATTTTACTCTTGAAGGGCCGCATATATACTTAAATAGCAAATTTTTCAACCAGGGGATAATTTTTTTAAGATTTGTGGCTCCTTTTTTTGGTCATAATGTCTGGCTGACGACCTTCAAACCTTCAAGGCATCGTGGGCCGTCGTTTGCCCACCCCTGGTCTAAACTTTTGGAAAGTTTAATTGACCTTATACACCTTTAAAACTTTTTCAATGTTTAAAGCTCAAACAAAAGTAATAAAAACATATTTATTGCGAAAATCAGTTAAAATTATATAAAATAATTTATCGGTATTAATAAGAATAATAGTAATAATAATGATGATGCATTTTATAGTGGTAATAATGGTCGTAAAGTGTATTATGTTGGTTGAACTTTTAAAAATATTAACAATAATAAATATAATAATGATAGGAATAATAAGAATAATAATAATAAATAAATGTATCTATCCCATGCAATTCTTCACTATAACGCTGACTAGAGAATTTAAAGGTTAAACATGGTTTACTGAAAATTTATAATAACAGTTATAATAATTAATAATAATAAATAGTAATAATTAATAATAATAATAATTGTGATGAGTACATGAGTGATATAACACGAAATATGAAATAGTTATTTAGTAGTAACCTTTGCATTAGATAATGATTATTATTTAGCTTATAGCAATAAATTATTTTATATCAAATTATAATTAGTGTGTATGTGTGTGTGTGTGTCTGTGTGTGTGTTGGGCTGAATTTAAAAGTAGGGGTATTGAGGCCCGGGGCAAGGAAGAAGATACAATTTCTAATTATTCTAATTATTCTCTAATCAGTCTCTAATTATTTAGTGGGGATCTGTGATTATTTATGAATACCTTAGAATATTAAACTGTGGCTCACAGTTTGTGTTTAATTTGTCATCTAAACCAGTCCGATTCTAAATTCGGCCATGTATGTGCGTGTGTGTGTGAGTGTGTGTGTGTGCGTGTGTGTGATAGTAGTTATTATAAGCATGGAGATTGTTAACATAATGAATTTGTCTGCTGATGATTATTATTATAAATAAATGAATAAATAAATATTATTAGGATTATTAATACAAATAATAATATAAATAAATACAGATATAATATCATTCTGTTGAGTTGTTTCAAATCGTAAGAGTCGATAATTTCTCGTTTCCTTGTACACAAAAGCCACCATACACATTTATTAATTCAAGTACTACAGATTATATACATAATAAATTTATATTATTATTACAATATTGTAATTAATGTTGTAACTATCATACATTATGATTCGGCTGATAGAGATGTGATGATGATGAAATTGTGTTAGATTGTATCTGGGAAACAAACATAAGAGCGAACGAGAAAACAGTATATTTTTATTATTTTTGTTATTATTATTATTGCTAATTTTTTTATTATTATTATTATTGTTGTTGTTCATATTCCTGTTCATTTTTTGTTCTCGTTGATTGGAAATTTGTTATTCTTACTACTGCTAATGTATTTATTATTATTATTGTTATTATTATTATTATTGTTATTATTATTATTAGAGTGATCATCATCGTTATCATTGTTGTCGTTGTTATATTTATCTTCGTCGTCGTCCGTTGTTGTTGTTGTTGTCGTTGTCGATGTTGTTGTTAGTCGCCAGTGGGTACTTTTGTACTTAAATTTTTTTCTCAGCTGATCGACAGTATCAGCGAGTAACTTGCCCTCGGTTACTTTCTTCAAGTACCTGTGGTTGCAGAGTTTCAACTCTTTCTCAATTTTGAGTATGTGATCGATGTTGTAGTAGTTATTGATGTTGTTGTTGTTTGTAAAATTGTTGTTGATGTTGTTGTTGTTGATGTTGTTGTTGTTGATGTTGTCAGTACAGCCAGCTCGCTCATTTTCATCATCGTCGCTGTTTTCTGTGTTACGTTGTTGTTGTTGTTGATGATGATTATGATGATTTTGGTGTTCTTGTTGTTGTTGTTGTTGTTGATTATGATTATGATGTTGTTGATGATGATGATGATGATGGGATGAGTAGTTGCTGATGTCACGTGTATCCTGAATCATCCCATTCCTTCCGCCCTTCCTTGTATTCCTAGTTGTGATCCGCCTATATTGAGACGTACAATCATCATCGTCGTCATCATCACCATCATTACCACCGTCATCATCATTTTTGTTGTTGTTGCTGTTGTTGGAGTTTTGGTGGCATATACTTTCTGAAATTTGAAGTTTTGCGTGGCAACCAGCCTCTCCCTTCGTCTCACATACACATCTGTATCTCTTTTTCACTGGTTCACTGCTCGATTTTGATTGGTGGTCACTTATCTCACGTGACCATGATGTCCACGATGACGACGACGACGATGATGATGATGATGATGATGACGATGACGATGGTGGTTCTGGAATGTGAGCAAATTTTATGATTCGTCATACATTCTTTCGTTCTAATATGTCCATGTGTAATGATATTTTTAAACACACCAATGAAAATATAAATTTTAACAGAAGCATAAACAGCAACAACAGCAACAATAGTAATCACAACAACATCTACCACAGTCGATAAATGCCCACCAACAATACAACCTTATACTAAACGAATACTCCGGTGAATCAAAGTACGAGAATTGAACTGACCTGAGGTGCAGTTCTGTACTAGACACTTCCTAGTGACGAAGTTATTCATGTTGGGGCACTTCATAGCCCCGCTGAGGTCTGCCGTGGTCTTCAGGGCGTTGATATCGTGCAGGCAGATGCACATTCGCATCTGTACACCTTCGCCGCAAGTTGCCGAACACTCTGTCCACTCGCTCCAGCCGTACCAGAGTTTTTCTTTGTGTGTGTGTGTGTGTTTGTGTGTGTACGTGTGTGTATTTGCGTGTGTGTGTGTGTTTGTGTGTTTTAAAAATTCGAAAACGCATTTTGAATTAATAATAAGGTTTTTTTATTAAATTTAAAATTAAACTAAAAATCAAAAACACTTCAATGAAATTATATTCGCCGAAAAAAATTCATACTCAAATTTTTATGGACAGGACATGAACCGACGAATGGATTGAGTGAAGGAATGCACTGCATTAATTCATCGCTCCATGCACAGAACGGATCTTGAACTGACCTACACAAACTTAATTGGGTCAAGAGTTTTATTACTCTCATCATTTATATTTCATTATTATCATTACAAACATCAAATTATTTCTAAAGATGCCAACAACTAAAGCACCCAAATCAACGCATCACACACAGTGCATGTCCTTGATTGGCGAGGAACTCTGTGCGATCGAATCAGGCTGCTGCTACAGAATCGCCAGGCACTTTAACCATTAAGCTACCGCGCCGCCCATTATTATTATTATTATTATTATTATTATTATAGTTATTATTATTGTTATTATTAAATTGACCAAATTGCTGAAGATCACCTCTGGTCTGGACATCAAACCGCAGCAAAAACTTAAAATATTCCGCTACTTTATTCCAACACAAATTCAATTCGAGCATCGTTACTACAATTTCTCGCTAGCATGGTTATAGTCCGACTTAGATAACCCGATCATAGGTGAAGTCAAGGATTGGCTCGCAATGCTAATCAGTGGATGTGTACTGCATACGCTCTCAATACCAAAGAAACTCAGGGGTAATAATGTTATGTTACTAAGAGACACGGCAGGAAAAAACAAAAAATAGAAGTTCACAGCTATTTAAAGGACAGCAATAATGAGGAAATCCAATGCTTATGGTGCAAAACCTCTTCAAACTTCTTCAAGTCGGACAGTTCTCTGACAGAAACAGGTTCATTAAAGCAGTCCCTCAAACTTCTGAATGAGACCCGAATAAAGTCACGTCTCAACCATTCACATCATGGGAATTCAGCCTTAAAGTATAGTGCTCAAGTCAATTGGCGAACTCATTACTCCAGCATAAATAACATGTTGGTCGGAAACTATTGACAACATGTCCGAAGTGCTCTACAGATTTGCGAGGAAGAACATAATTCAACAACTGCCCACTAATTCAAATTTTTTTAAATGGGGCAAAGCCAAAACTCCCTTGTGCCCACTGTGTAATGTTTGCCAAACAAATAAGCATGTAGTGTCAAAACACGGTTCAGCATCGGCTCTGAAGAGATACAACACAGACAGATATAATAAAGTACTGGCGCTGATGATAAAGGAGTTGAGGTTACTGGCTCTAAGCAAATGACTACTGTTAATTTGCGGATTTGGAAATGAAAGGCATCCGTCCAATGTCGTGCCTATTCACGTCCCGACATTGCCACTTTGGGGGCGACAACATTAAGGTGCTGGACCAGACGATATGCCCTGAAACTAATCTACTTCCATCAAAACAATACAAACGACAAAAATATCTAAATTTGAATTCGTATCTAAATAATGAATATATCCACTGTTCTACAATAACTTACACGTTCGAATTGTCGCCAATCGGTTTCTACAATAATTTTAATTTATCGCTATTTAAATTTTCATGGCCAATTTCTTTTAACTTTAAACTAATAAACAGTGCTATAAGCTCGTCATACGCAATTTACTGTAACAGAAACATTGCCGAATGCTATTTAAATATAACTCTCGCGCCCATACATTTGTCATTGACAATGAGGATGGGTGAATCGTACATTTGAATTTATTGGATTATTTTACTCTATTTTATTTATTTATTTTTGAAACATTTTATTACAATTTATTCTCATTATTTGATTTTGGCTTACAAGAAATAAAAGACTTTTTGTTACTATTAATTGTACCAACATAAAGTAATGAATATTTTAAAAAAAATACAGATTCGCGATTACTCTTCAAGCAAGTACTCTTCAAAAAATACCTCTCGGTTTGGAATCTGTGGCATCTTTGTTTCGGTATTTGGTAAAGTCTGTCAGCAGTTGCCAGTACCAGCATATTCTGGTCGATGCAACGATGATTAGAAATTGATCAAAGTGAATTAATTGAATAAAATGTAGATTAACAAACAAATTAATTTATTCATTTCATTAAATTTTTTTCTGTATTTTTATTGTGACTGTCCTTATAATTTTTTGTTTCACACATACAGACAGACACACACACACAATTGATGAAATAAACACATTTTAAAATCTACAAATATCATTACTATTTTATTTTAATTATTTTATTTATATTATTAAAAGGCAATGTAATTAAATTATTAGGACTAATAAATACTACCGTAACCAAATTAAGACGGAGAAATGTGATTGGCTGTGGCTCGTCCAATGGAAGGACTTGTACCACTTCCAACAAGCACGACATCCTATCATCAACAATACCCCCACCACTTCTACTACTACTACTACTACTACTACTACCACCCATAAACAAATCTTTATAATGATGCTGACGATGATGTTTCAGATGATGTTGTTGATGATAATGATGTTGGTGGTCGGCGTTTTTGTGGCTGAAGTGTCTGTCGCTGATATTATCAGTAGTAGTAGTATTAGTAGCGTCGTCGTTGTTGCTGCTTTTCGGTATAAGACTGTATTTTTTCAACAATCCTTCAATTGTTGTGATGTACATTAGTGTCAGGATGGTGGTGTTGTTTCTGAAAGAAGTTGCAAGAGATTCTACGACTATGTGGTGGAATCTGAATAGTAATGATTAAGACGTGTGTGTGTGTGTGTGTGTGTGTGTGTGTGTGTGTGTGTGTGTGTGTGTGTGTGTGATAGATAGATAGAGTGAGAGATAGAGAGAAAGAGAGAAAGAGAGAAAGAGAGAGAAAGAGAGAGAAAAAGAGAGAGAAAGAAAGAGGAGTATTCCTCAATAATGGCCAATTGTAATTTACTCACCTCTCATTGGCCACTTCAATAATTGGGTCATGCTGTCGCGACCTAATTATTCCACTGGCCAATTGGAAGCTGTGGGCTTGTTGGGCGTATGCATAATTTAATGTTGGGTCAGGGTCTTTAGAACACTGTGGTTAATTAATTTTAATCAGTCAACCAACCAATCAATCAATCAACCAACCAATCAATAACCAATCTATCAATCAATCAACTAATCAATTATAAACTAATTAAATAATCAACCCTTCTGGCAAATTCAGTATCGGCTTCATGCCATTGGTTGTTCTTACTGAATTTATGGGGACCTAGGATTTTTTTTAATTGAAAAAATAAATTATTTTAAAATTAATATAAAATAAAATATTAGTAAGTTAAATAAAATGTAGTTAAAGGAGTGTAGTTAAATTAAGTGAATTTTCCGTGATAACATTACAAATGTGTTAAAATTGAAAACTTATAAAATTGTTATCAATGTTTTTTCATTTTTACAGTGTGTCGCAGTGTTGCCAATCGAATTAAAACATCATTATGTTATGAGTGAATGATTATACAGCACGAAACGCAACAAAACTCAAACCAGCAAAACTGAAAATTGAGAAAATATTTCATCATTCTATCGTTATTAAGTGTAGGACTTTGAAAATTGTGAAACATTCCTAACTTGCCTAGCTGACAATTTGACATTATAAAAGCTGTATGAATTTCACACCAAAACACACCACACCACACCACGAATATGTACACAAACACACACCACATACACACACACCACACACACACACACACACACACACACAAATACACACACACAAATACACACACACATCATTTTCGTCATCACCATCATTTTTAACACCACCATCAACCTCTTCCTCATCAACGTCGTCGTCATTGTCTTTATCATTATCATTATTATTATTATAATTATTATTATTAATATTATTATTGTTGTTATCTGACCTTGAAGTACCTCATTAATATCATCAAGGTGGAACTGGCAAACAGCTGATCCCGCTACTCCATTGCTAGTGGTGGTGATGATGATATGATGATGATGATGATGATGATGATTATGGTGATGCTGGAGATGATGGTTGTGATGATGATGATGACGTTAAAGATAATAATAATATTAACACCCTCACGCATACACACACACACGCACGCACACACAAACACACATAATCACACATAATCACACATATACCCAAACAACAATGCACAAACGCACATATACACATAAGCACACATACACACAAACAACAACACACACACATATACACAAACAACAACCAACAACAACGACACACAAACCCGGGTGTGGTAAAGACGCCAGTGAATAACTTGGTCACCAAATCGTAATCCACACCTTGTAGCTCATTATAATGAAATGATGACGTCTCACCGCCACTACTGCCAAACGGAGACAATTTACCGGAACAGTCTAGAAGGGCTTTGGAAAAAGTTACAAAGTTCTTCTGCAAGAATTCCGGTGTACCGCCTTTGTCTGACTGTTGTGGTGAGAGTGGTGTAGTTGGAGTGGTGTAGATGGAGTGGTGTAGTTGGAGAGGTGTAGTTGGAGTGGTGTAGTTGGAGTGGTGTAGTTGGAGTGGTGTAGTTGGAGTGGTGTAGTTGGAGTGGTGTAGTTGGAGTGGTAATGGTAGTGCAGCTGTTGTGGTGATTGTGGTGTAGTTGTTATGGTAATGGTTCTTTGGTGGCGATACTGCTGTTGTTTATTATGTCGGTATATTATGATTTCATTTTATTTACAGATCGATATCTTCTTTAATCATATTTTAATGCAGTTTTTCATGTTCAGATTGATATGGCTGACATTGAAGTTGCAGTCAGTGGCCGAGCTTGAATGCGTGCGATTGCAAGTCCGCAAGGCGTTCGTTCACGCCTTCTTCCAATTGGCTGGATATATTTTCGTTGAGGAATTCTCATATTGAGAAAGATTTGTTGGATGAAACTAATGTTAATTTTTAGCGTGAATACTATTAAGAAAATTATACTAATAGCAACAATTTATATAGTAATAAAAACAGTAAGAAAAAAAAATCGACAACAACATTCGCAACAACAACGTCAGAAACAATAACAACAATAACAACAACATCAACAATAACAACATCACCAGCAGCAGCATCAACCACAACGATAACAACAACATCAACAATAGATATAGTCCATAATAGCACCATTAGGTTGCGTGCCTCTATTCAGGTCAAGTCATTTTGTAAATGGTTCAAATCTCGCCAGCTTCCTTCAGGTTTGTGTAGTAGAGTAATCTTAATAGTACTTTATAGCAGCCGTTAAGGTAATGCATGGGATTTTTACAACGGTATGCAGTCTTTGTAGTACAATTACTTATTTGTACGGTGTACTATGTGTTTGTGCTACACTGCATACTGTACAGATGTGCACTTTTATGTATTTCATTATGTATACTGTACAATGTACAATTTTATTGTTGCCTGGTTGCATTTTGTTGGCTGGTTAGTTTGGCTTAGGATCATGATGGATGCATGTTACTTTGTAGTTCCGCCAGTTGCTGATGTTAATTCTTCGCTTTCAGACTGGTGTTGGTATCCGTTCGTTTAATTTTTTTTTTAATTGAACTAAGGCAAAATTAAGGACTATTGTATTATAAAATGTTTTGTAAACAATTTTTAAAAACGTTTATAAAATGCGAGAATGAAGTTTTGGAACGTGGAATCAAATAAAACTTTAAATGAAGTTAAGCAAAAAAATTTGAAAACAGTTTAGAAGCAGATACAAATATTTCATATGAAATCTTTAGTTCGAAAATTTTTATTTCTAATAAAAAAATAGAGATTTATTGTTAAATTGGTTGTTAGCACGTTCGTCTGTTTGCTTCTGGGTTTGCTGGTTTGTTTGTTTAAGACTTTGTAGCTTTATTCGTTTTGAGTTTTTGTGTGTTTGTTTGTATTTGTGTGTGTGTGTGCGTTTATTTGTACGTTTGTATGTGCGTGTGTAAGTTTGTATGCTTGTGTGTTTATTTGTTTTATGTATGTATATATGTTTCTTTGTTTGTACATGTTTGTATCAGTCTGACGTCTTGTTTGTTATGTTAATCATTTCAAAATACCATTGAAATGTTAGGTAATAATTAAACAACTTTTCATGTTCTAGCATCGAATTATACTTTCTAAATTAACACGCCGATAGTTATAACCACACACGGAAATCCAAATAAAACGCTTTGTGGAATGTTTGTAGAACTGCCATCTATTTGAAAATTTAAGAAAAGCTTTCTATTTTCGTTTTTTTATTGAGTTTATTGATTTTTTTTCTTATTAATTAAAACTTTTGATGAAAAAAAATAAACAAAAACGTTGAATAAATAAAAATTTACGGAACTCTCAACAAAATTTCATTCAAAGATAATCTTTATTCCTCTCTTTGATGTTTCCACACAGCTCTCAACAGTTCATTTTTAAACCGAGAAAGTTTTTTTTCATTAAAAAACTTGTTTGGTGGAGAAAAAAAAGCTTCTCAAAATGTCAGCAGCTGGCAATTTACTAGCTGGGAAGAAGTGTGAATTCATTATGCATGCGTTGGGTGGATGCAAAGTGCTCATTCAGAAATGTTTGTATACGATACGAAACGATAAGAAACGATACGAGACAATTCGACACAAGTATATACGTGCGTATTCTCTGTATCTTCGTATCGGTATGCGTATTTTTATGCGTTTTTGGTCAATATGCGTACCTGCAGTATACGCATGCATACCAATACATGTTTGTATTTGCTCAA